GACTGTCTATCATGGGTAATGGTTTTAAATTTTGGTTTGATACCATGGCTTAAATAATCAAATATTTAAGTGTTATTAATTGAGAAATTATGCATATAAACGTTCGTGCATAAAAATAACCAAATAATAATAATAATAATAATAATACAGAAATTATTAAGATCTGATATTTTCTCTATTACTGTTATAAGCTTTCTCTATGAACTAACTATTAGAGCTTCATTGCTTGTAATTCTGTCATATAGGTACTGTACCTTCAATTACTGTCAACAAATATTTCCTGCATAAGCAATTAACCTTTTCTATTCATATTATTATAATAATAAAAACAGCATGGGTTGTTTATGAAATTATAACAGAATTCATGTTAGTTCTTGTTATACCATACAAAATAATTACAACATACAATATTCCATAACAGTTTGTTCTTTCATTAAACAACAAAACAAAGAATAAACTATTCTACAATTTTAAATTAATCAAATAGTTCAAAACAAAAGTGTAACATAATTTACAATTTCATATGAAGATATAATTATACTTCAAAAGAGTTTACTGTCTTAGCTTTTATGTTAACTTGTCTCATAAGGCTATAAAATAATAATACATTAAATGTCTTTAAGTGAAAAATGGAATACTGTCAATGATACTAGTGAGACACTCTACTGTCTCTCACTAATATCATTGGCAATATTAAATTTCTTTCAAATATCATGGGTTGCATTAAAAGAATTGCCAACTAGATTTAAAAATGGCAAATTTCTATAAGCATAATTATCAAAATAATTTTTATAAAATTTAACTATAATTGTTTACATATATATACAGTAGAGCATCGATTTTCTGAATCAATTGGGGACTGGGGTTGTTCGTATAACTGATATTTCGGATAACCGATTTATGTACAAAAAAATAGTTTAACCTATCCGATGTTGAAATTTTTCTCTGTTGAGTGTCGCTTCGCGTTGAATTTTCGTTGATAGCCAAAGATTGAAGCGCCACAGCACTGGCAAAATTTAAATTTGCCGCCTGGAATTCTTTCGGATGATTGACGTTTCGGATGATTGACTTTCGGAAAATCGACGCTCTACTGTATTTACTTTTAAAGTAAGGATGTTGTATTATCATTATTGCCAGATCTACTGTTTTAATAATATAAAAATTAGAATGAAAAAATAAATAAATAAATTGGAATTATTAGAACTGAGTTGTCAACAAGTCTGTGTGTTACTTTTCTTTATATCTGCTTATATTTTCTTGTTTTATAAATAACAGCATCAATTCACAAAGCGATCAAAACATATAAAAATACACAAAAAAATTTTTAAATTGTTTTAACAAGAGCAAAAACAATGCTCTTCTTTCTTGAAAATATGTATAATTTTTTAAAGACTACAAAATGTATAAGTTAATTATTCTGAAATTCAAAATATCATCTACATATTTTTAATTCCTAGAAAATCTTTTATGATAATAAGAACACGAAAAAAATGCATAAATTCTTTGTAACTATATCAGTAGCTAAAAATTAAACAGAAAACATTAATGTAATAAAACAAAAGTGAAAATTTACAACTGTAAATCTATAAATAAATTCTATTTAAGAACAAGAAATGCATTGAATTTATATAGTATAAATAGTGAAAATAAGTATGAACAAAGTATTCTTATTCTTAAAGATATCTTCCAACTTGACTACCAGTGTTAATGACAACCCTTAAAAGAACCTTTATGTCCAAAACTTAATGGTTGCAAATGTGTAAAATACAAAAATATACACATAAGGCAATCTATATGTCCCTATTATTCATGGGTCCAATATAACAGTAAATAGTAAACATTCAATGTGCATTAGTGGCACACTGTTCTTCACACAAGTAAGTTCTTTTAAAGACTGTAACTCATTATTGTACATCTGGCATTACTTGTGTGAAAAACAGGGTGCCACTAACACACATTAAATGTATACTATTTACTGTTACATCAGACCCACAAATAATAGGTACACATGAGTTGTCTTATGTGTATCTTTTTGGATTTCACACCTTTGCAACTGTTAAGTTTCGGTTGGTTTTTTATGTTACAAAGGTTTTTAAATTTAACGTTTTAAAAATGTTCTGTTCCAAGCATTCCAATTTTAGAATTCGATTGTACTCTAATCTGATGCAGACCTTGAGTATGATCGAAAGCATTTGTTGGACAACTTATTAAACGTTTTTGTTATCAGACATAAAGGTTCTTCAAGGGTTGTCAAAGTAATCTTAAATTATACAAAAGCACAAATTTATTATATAGTACATAAGGAAATTTTGTAATAAATTTGTAAAATATTGAAAAATTTATTGAAATTATTTTTTATTAATTCATCATTCTTGTAATTAAACTAAATCAGTCAATGAACATTAATAAAACTGAATAAAAGGAAAACATCACCTATATATAAATTTTAATACTATTTTCTCTTTAATTAAATATTTATCACTTTCAAATATATTAAATCAATCAGATATGTTAATTTAAAAGTGATTTTTTAAACTGTTATGTTATAAATGATGATTTATATTAGATTTCAGCTCCAAATCACTCATTTAAAATTTTTTTATAACAAATAAATTAATAATAATCAAATAAAAATAATTTTACTATACCATATACATTGGTGATCCACATAAAGTAGCAGCCATAACACCATCTTGCAAAAATCTAGCAAAACCAAAATCAGCAATTTTTAAAGTTATATCTGAGGGAGGAGGGTTTGGTTTGCCTGAATGACACAAAAGAATATTCTGAGGTTTCAAATCTCTATGTACAATTCCTTTTCCATTGAGAGCTTTCATAGCACCAGCTGAAATGTTAAAATAATTTGGATTTTGTTTATTAAAGTATAAATCAAAGAAAGCCCTTAAAATAATATTTCAAATTAAGTTTTTATTAGTTCAAAGCATTTTATTTTTTGGAAATTTAATCAGTATTCAATAAAAATAAAGAAATTTAAAATGTTAAAAAAATTACTAAAATTATATAAAAGTATCAAAATTCATCAAGTAAAACAATTCAATATTGACAATGTTCATAATTTAAAGTACAAAATATTTATATCAGAATTTATAATTGTTATAAAATCATATACAATTCTTTTTCCAGTCTGAAGTTATTGCTAATTAACAGTGAGCATTAAATTATGTAAAAAAAATCANGAATCAATTGGGGACTGGGGTTGTTCGTATAACTGATATTTCGGATAACCGATTTATGTACAAAAAAATAGTTTAACCTATCCGATGTTGAAATTTTTCTCTGTTGAGTGTCGCTTCGCGTTGAATTTTCGTTGATAGCCAAAGATTGAAGCGCCACAGCACTGGCAAAATTTAAATTTGCCGCCTGGAATTCTTTCGGATGATTGACGTTTCGGATGATTGACTTTCGGAAAATCGACGCTCTACTGTATTTACTTTTAAAGTAAGGATGTTGTATTATCATTATTGCCAGATCTACTGTTTTAATAATATAAAAATTAGAATGAAAAAATAAATAAATAAATTGGAATTATTAGAACTGAGTTGTCAACAAGTCTGTGTGTTACTTTTCTTTATATCTGCTTATATTTTCTTGTTTTATAAATAACAGCATCAATTCACAAAGCGATCAAAACATATAAAAATACACAAAAAAATTTTTAAATTGTTTTAACAAGAGCAAAAACAATGCTCTTCTTTCTTGAAAATATGTATAATTTTTTAAAGACTACAAAATGTATAAGTTAATTATTCTGAAATTCAAAATATCATCTACATATTTTTAATTCCTAGAAAATCTTTTATGATAATAAGAACACGAAAAAAATGCATAAATTCTTTGTAACTATATCAGTAGCTAAAAATTAAACAGAAAACATTAATGTAATAAAACAAAAGTGAAAATTTACAACTGTAAATCTATAAATAAATTCTATTTAAGAACAAGAAATGCATTGAATTTATATAGTATAAATAGTGAAAATAAGTATGAACAAAGTATTCTTATTCTTAAAGATATCTTCCAACTTGACTACCAGTGTTAATGACAACCCTTAAAAGAACCTTTATGTCCAAAACTTAATGGTTGCAAATGTGTAAAATACAAAAATATACACATAAGGCAATCTATATGTCCCTATTATTCATGGGTCCAATATAACAGTAAATAGTAAACATTCAATGTGCATTAGTGGCACACTGTTCTTCACACAAGTAAGTTCTTTTAAAGACTGTAACTCATTATTGTACATCTGGCATTACTTGTGTGAAAAACAGGGTGCCACTAACACACATTAAATGTATACTATTTACTGTTACATCAGACCCACAAATAATAGGTACACATGAGTTGTCTTATGTGTATCTTTTTGGATTTCACACCTTTGCAACTGTTAAGTTTCGGTTGGTTTTTTATGTTACAAAGGTTTTTAAATTTAACGTTTTAAAAATGTTCTGTTCCAAGCATTCCAATTTTAGAATTCGATTGTACTCTAATCTGATGCAGACCTTGAGTATGATCGAAAGCATTTGTTGGACAACTTATTAAACGTTTTTGTTATCAGACATAAAGGTTCTTCAAGGGTTGTCAAAGTAATCTTAAATTATACAAAAGCACAAATTTATTATATAGTACATAAGGAAATTTTGTAATAAATTTGTAAAATATTGAAAAATTTATTGAAATTATTTTTTATTAATTCATCATTCTTGTAATTAAACTAAATCAGTCAATGAACATTAATAAAACTGAATAAAAGGAAAACATCACCTATATATAAATTTTAATACTATTTTCTCTTTAATTAAATATTTATCACTTTCAAATATATTAAATCAATCAGATATGTTAATTTAAAAGTGATTTTTTAAACTGTTATGTTATAAATGATGATTTATATTAGATTTCAGCTCCAAATCACTCATTTAAAATTTTTTTATAACAAATAAATTAATAATAATCAAATAAAAATAATTTTACTATACCATATACATTGGTGATCCACATAAAGTAGCAGCCATAACACCATCTTGCAAAAATCTAGCAAAACCAAAATCAGCAATTTTTAAAGTTATATCTGAGGGAGGAGGGTTTGGTTTGCCTGAATGACACAAAAGAATATTCTGAGGTTTCAAATCTCTATGTACAATTCCTTTTCCATTGAGAGCTTTCATAGCACCAGCTGAAATGTTAAAATAATTTGGATTTTGTTTATTAAAGTATAAATCAAAGAAAGCCCTTAAAATAATATTTCAAATTAAGTTTTTATTAGTTCAAAGCATTTTATTTTTTGGAAATTTAATCAGTATTCAATAAAAATAAAGAAATTTAAAATGTTAAAAAAATTACTAAAATTATATAAAAGTATCAAAATTCATCAAGTAAAACAATTCAATATTGACAATGTTCATAATTTAAAGTACAAAATATTTATATCAGAATTTATAATTGTTATAAAATCATATACAATTCTTTTTCCAGTCTGAAGTTATTGCTAATTAACAGTGAGCATTAAATTATGTAAAAAAAATCACTTATAGTAACCTCAAAAACTGAGTTTTAGACTACTTTATTTAAGCTAAATAATGCATAGAAAGTAAATAAACTCAATATAACAGTAATTATATTAAGAATACATTCATTCGTTCATTCATTAGTTTAATTGTACATTTAAAACAAGGTACAAAGTCCTGCCCTGCAGTGAGCATTACAGGAGCATATCCATTACATAGTTCCACCGAGTTACAGTATGCACTAATAAACAAAACAAAGTGAAAAGAAAAATAAAAAATAAATAAATAAAAACACAATGACAATAAAAGACCCAAACAAAATATGTAGCAGCATGTTGCAGCATATAACAGATTACTTATCTGCAGGAATATTTTCGCAAAAGAAGGTTGCAGTAAATACAATAATTCTGACAATAAGTGTTTAACAGCATTTATCCCGTGCAGAAAATTTGTAAGACAAAGATTTGAGAATCCCATGAGTCCATATTAAGAATACTGTTGACCCCCCTATAACATTGTTGATAATTCTGTTTTACATGAATTCCATGTTGTACGAGTCACTTAAATTTTACAAATACATGTGCAGGGCTGTGAACAGCTCACGTATTTGTAAAATATATGTGACTCGTACAACATGGAATTCATATAAAACGGAATTATCAACAATGTTATAGGAGGTCGACTGTATAACAATTTTGATTTTTCTATATTATATCAATATATAAAAACAGTAATAAATAAATTAATTCACATAATTTCTTTTTAGAAATTTATAATTAATTTTTAAAATAATATATTATGATAAAAAAGTCTTATGAAGAATCTTGTGAAATGACTACTTAATTTTTTAATATTTATTGTGATGTTGTAAACTAATTATATTTTAAAATAATTGGTAAATGCTACTAGAAATTACGTTCAATGCAATAAAGTAAGTTTGGCATTTTGTAAAGAGAAATGTCATAAGTAACATAAATAGAAAATTCTTAGATGATGTAAATTCCAAATTATTGTCTTTTAACCTTTTGTAAACCTTATCAAAACACACTACAGAAAAAAATCTAAAAAGCAATAAATATATTCTGAAGTACCTACTTCAGAATAATCTGAAAAAACAGAGGAAAAATGCTGGAAGTTAAAGATCAACATTTCTCTACATTTCTTTCTAAATTTTTTCACATCATAAACACAGTAAAATTTTCCTACTTCAAACTTCAAAAAGATTTAGCACTAAATACTAAAAAAGTAGGTAATAAAAAAATTATTAAGAACACAAATATTTAAAATAAAACACAGAATTTTTAAGGTGTCAAATTTTCATATTGTTGTTTATATTCATTGTTTTATCATAAAGCTCTTCAATTACCTTATTTTTCAAATTAGAAAACTGCTATATTTTAAATCATGATATTAGAGGAAACAAAATATTAAAATATTACTGTCAAAATAAACAAAATTGTACTTACAAAAATGAAAGTAAGTTTTATATAGTAAGAATGAAATCTAAAATTAGATTAATGATTTGCAAATTTCAGTTTTTATTGTTGCAACAATTAAAAACAGTCAAGAAGAGGTCACTGATTTCACTGGATTTCAAATTTGCTAAGCTTATCATCATTTTTAGAATTGATTTAAGTTTCGAGAATGATGATAAATTAATGCTAAATATATAACATCTAAATACTTATATTTAGAAAATGACTAGCTTACAGATACTTAAATTACACAAAATTTTTATTTTAAGATTTATTATTTATTTTTATTCCTGTTATTTTATCACTTGAAAATCAGAATGATTTTATACGAGTATATATAATTCTATCAAATACATCCAAACACCCTCCTTATTAGTGAATAACTTTTTTGTCAATGAGTGTATTAATATATATATTAATACACTCATACTCATTGACAAAAAAGTTATTCACTAATAAGGAGATGTCATTATCAGATAAGACATTATTAGTGTAATGTAATGATTATGGTAATAAATGATTGCAATAACACAGCAAAGGAACAACTTCCTGTGAACAGTACAACTAATAGGACCTCTTCTTGCTTGAATATATGCAGTGATAAGATCAGATACAGAGACATACCAGAATCATATATAGAACAGATATTGCAACTGTCATTTCAGATCACTCACACTGGATGTTAAAGCTAGCATCTCATCTACTCTGTTAGTGCTCTATGGACAACAAATCTACAGAGTGGGCAGACAAAGGAAGTATGACAACATGACAGACATTCCTGGGAAAGCCTGGCTGTTTGCGGGCAAATCATCTGACTGGAAATCAGCTATTTGCAGCTCTGCCATGAAAGGCAACAAATCAGGTTGCAGAATTTCCTGAACATACTACTGTGTATGCAAATTTTTTCTGCTACTCACCTCTCAATAATAGAAGGAAGAACAGGATTCTGTAGCAAGGCTTCCATTTATTTCTGTATGATGGACAAAGATTCCATTGCAACTGTTTGTACTTATTTCATGATGAGGCAATCATCTCTCCTGGCAGTCTGTCTGGGGCATCCAGAGCTTATCTGCCATGGATGTATAACTTAATATATCCATTGCCTCTTCACAGTCATATCAGAACAACCTGGATAGAGAGTTTGACAAAATGGCCATCCCACTTTCCACAGCTCTATGATGTGAGCTATTTCAAACTCCATCAGCTGTGCATAATGTCTTTGCATCATATAGGCATGCCTGGTGTTCAAAGATCTCTAAATAACAATTTCACTGAAAATTCTAAACACAATGAGCCTCTGCAAATCCTTTTATAGGATACTGTGATAGCAATTTTAAGGTACTCTGCTGGCATTACCTGAAGTGCAATCAGACAACAACTGTAATCATTTACACATCTATTTTAGACAGCTGTATACTGGGTTTTGCAGTAATTAGACAATTCTATCTGGATTTGTAACTTTGTCAATGAGGTTATTATAATTTCATTGATTATTACTTTCTAATTATTATACTATATTATATATATATAATAGAAGCTAAAAGTTTAAGAATATTTCTCATTTAATTAAGTAGAATATTATATAATAATCAATAAAATTATTAATTATTATGTTAAAAAGTTTTTTCAAAGCTATCTATCACAGTAACATATCAAAACTATGGCTAAATTCAAAGTATAGTTCATCATTATTAGTCATTATTATTATGACAAAACAGACTGATAAGTTTCTTAAGGAATTGTGCTAGAATAAACTTTGACATTGCTACACATTTATTTTATCAAGTAGTTTTTGTTTTATTTTGTGCTAGTTTTTCATATTTTAGTTTATTTTGACTGTTATTTCAACTGTTTTAATTTTAAAAAATGGAAGGCTTTAAAAATCAATGTAAAAACAAAGATTGTTAATTCAAAAATATTCTACAGCACATTTCAATTTGTATTCTATTCTGCAAAGACACTGCTGATGACTTGTATTGAGTCAAAAACATTTCAGAAGATAAAATTGAGGACACCGACTAGCTTTTTAACAGGTAACAGAACTGTTACATTTAAATTATTTTTGAATAATTTTACTTTATGTAACTAATATATTTAAACAACCTTGTCCTCCATATGTCAAGAGTTAACTGACAGCAGGAAAATGTTGTTCAACAGCTGATAATGGATTATTGTAAGAAACTAGAACAGATTTAGAATTATTATTTAAAAGTACAATTATTTATGTTTATGAAAATGAGAAATTTCATCATAAAAGCTTATATACATAAACATGAAACACACTATTCATATTTTTAACTTCTGAATAGATTTGGAAATATTTTAGACTTAGCAAGACATAAAGGAATTCTCTATAAAGTAATATCATGTAACATTGTGTAAAAAAGAAAAAATTTAATGTATACAAAGTTTGCTTAATTCCACTTCAACTCATTATTTAATCTTAGATTTACAAAAATCTACTCTGCTAAACATTTCTATATCTGCATGCTATATTTTTCAACAAGCAGAATATTTTTATTTTCAATGAAGAACTATAAACTGATTATGAATATTTACAAAAATCAGATAAAAATAAAATCACTTAAAATCATGAATTTGTATTTAAACAGAAGCAACTTAACTATATTGAAGTAAGAATAGTTTAATAAACAAACACTTATTTATTTATTAAACTATTAACTATAAATATAAATTATTTTTATCCAATTTCTATAAAAAAAAAACCATAAAACAATAAAAAAATAAAAATTGTTTTATGTTTGGGGTGGCTTATGCAAATTTTTATCAATTGAAGTTATAATGTTCAAAAATATGACTAATATATCATTATATTCTTCTGCCACTTTCTAACCAAGACTATCAAAGCAATAAACAGGAAGTATAGTAGCTTTATCAAAGAACCACATTTATTTTAAAAAATTTCACATTTAACCAAAAGTCATATTGTGAACAATGTTAAAATGTAAAAACTTCTTTAATAAATGTGGTTCTTTGATAAAGCTACTGTACCTCCTGTTTATTATTTTGATAGTTTCTGTTAGAAAGTGGCAGAAGAATGTAATGACATATTAGTTACATTGAAAATTACAACTTCCACTTCATAAAAATATTTTATCTTGTTATTTAGGCTTCTTCAGTTAGATTTGAACACAAAACAGAAGTTAAAATAGTTTAATTCAAATTCAAGCTATGTTCTATGACTTAAAAAAATTTTATTCTTCTGAAACAATAATAAATAATACATATTAATTTTTAAAAATTTATTATAGAATGAGATTTGAATTTAAATTTCACTCTTTAGGAACTTCTCTCTCTCTCTTTTTTTTTTTTTTTACTTAAATTTAACTGAAGAATCTAATTAATATATATATATATGTATACACAAACAAATTATACATATAATTTAATAAACTATTTTACTATTTAACATCATTATAGTTGAGCTGCTTATACTTCTTTGTAATGTGTGGGAAAAATTACTTTTGTCTGTGGTAAAATTTATTAAATATATGGTAGATAAATATATCTACCATATATTTAAATAGATAAATAGATAAATCATGTGAAGATTTAAATTTAAAGTAATTTTATAACAAACATAAATTTCTTCTAAATGACTTTAAAAATAAATTTTAATTTAATAAAATACATTTCTATAATAAACAGAAATATAATTGATAACAATTAGATATTTAATTCTAACAGGTATCCAGAAAAAAAATCTGTGTAAAATATCTCAGACTCTAGGTAACAGCCAATAACTTTTAATTATGCTGATGTGTTATAATTTGAAAGTGCATAGAACATTTCTAAAATATTTTTCTGCATTCAATTTTCGGTTTTTTTCAAAATGGCAATGAAAGAAGATACTTTATATCTAAGAGTTATAAACTATTGTGTAGGAATGTGCACTTAATTAATTAAATAAATAAATAAATACGCAAATAATTAAATAAAACATTAGGGAAGAATTTATTATAAACCATTTTGCAAATGAAGACATTTTAAAATGGACTGTATATTGCATTCTCCAATGTTCTGAGAGTGTATTACCACCAAGAGAAAAAAGGGATCTGGTAGAAAAGCAAAAATTCTAATGAAAGTCCAGTTAGAAAGATTGAAGGAGAGCCTTTGAAGACAGACATGGTTTCAATTCTATCTGTAACCTCAAAATTGAAAATTTAACTTAGTTAGCTCCATGAGGCTTTGAAAATAAAATAAATATCATAAGCATAAGCAGCAGATAATTTTGAACAGAATGGACACACTGAGATCATTGGCAAAAAAGTGCATAAGATTATCACAAAAGCCCTCTGAAAATTTCTCATTTCAAAAATTTCATTTTGAATAACTAATTAGACTTCACCCTCTCACACTCAACAATCAATGGTAAAGGTGAATTTTACAGCAATAATATCTCCTTTACACCTGTTGATGTAAAGTTTTAAGTTTGGATTGCAATGGAACTGAAAGGACAGAGTCAAGTCCCTCATCAAAAAATCAACTTTTGCTATCAATGCCCAGAGACATTTAAATGAATGTGTGGCCGCCAGCGCCAGAGATCCTGAACACTGTCTGGCAACACTTGCCAAGATCACGAACTCTGTCTGGCAACACTTGCCAACAAGAGTGGCTGGCAACGTCAAAAAAAGAAAAGGCGCGAAAGTTCGTTGGATTTTGTCCGAGTGTTGCCCGAGGATGTCTGTGACAGTTCTAACCTTTTCTAATAAAGTTCTTTTTTGTTACTGTTCGTGTTTGCCTGCTTAATGTTAGATCTAAACATCAGTAGGATTGAATGACAAAAATGTAAACATTGTTGTCTAATCCCTTAAATTCAAAAGAACTATTCTCAAGCAGAATATGTCTTCTGGCCAGATTGAGCAAGTTTCCACTATGTCAAAACCATAGTGGATTACCTGTGATAAGAAAACATCACATTCATCAAAAAGAGGATAACCTTGTGATAAGAAAACATGCCAAAAATTAGGCCAACTGAGGGATTTTTGGCAATTCTCAAGGCAGCCATTTACAAAAAGGGGTGAAAAGCAAAAAAAACATGGATTAGCTGTTCAATAGCATAAAATACTGAGTAAAAAATGTGAACTAAAATTTTGTTTAAAAACTTTCACTACATATCAAAAGTTGAATTGACAGCATTCAGTGGCAGGATCATGCAGAATTACAAAAATATAAATGATGATAAATAACTTTTTATCACCTTTCAAATTATTATTTATAGTCATAAACCACTAAAACAAAAAATTCTATGAGTTTCTTTCCCAAGGTAAAACAAAAATTGTGTGGATTTTTTCCAGAAACCCATTATTCTTGAAGATATTTTCTTTTTAGTTTATTTAGGTGAATTCTGCTACAAAAATTGATAAAAAGATGTTAGGCAGAGACAAAAGAAAATTTGATACTTGTAGTTTATTGACACTTTATTAATAGAACAATTACTGCTGAGTTTAAATTATAGAAAGGGATGTAATCAGGCCAAATTAAGCTAAATTAAATAATTAAATTAAGGTCATTGACTAGAGAATGATTAAAAAAGTTTAAGAAGTAGACATTACCAATAACTTCAATCATATAACATATATGTTTATATATGAATAAAGAGTAATAGCACTCAAATATTTTCTAATAATAATTTTATATCAATACTCACCTATTTGTCGTAAAAAAAACCGAATGGTATCTTCACTTAAAGTACCTTTAACTACATGGAAAATAAAAATAAAATTAATAGATTATACAATAAAAAAATTATTATATAATTAACTGTATACAAATAAAAATATGCAGCTTATCAGTAATGACAGAAATCAAAACAGTACATAAAAAAAAATATAATTCATAATTTCATTTGCATAATAAATGAAACTATATTCAAATACTTTCATACATTTTATTAAAAAAACAGTACAAAATTTATATGGTTATTTTGCAAATTTATTTGAAGGATTCCATTAATTTTTTATTTTAAATAATAAATATTCAATAACTGATCATCAACATTTTATCTTAAAGATTCAAAAATAAACCTAGTTGTTACAATATAATGGATATTACATAAAGAACTGATACTAAATAAAATACAATAGTTTATAATGGCTTGATCAACTGAATAATATAGTAGTTAAGAGCGTTATAAAGCTACATCACGTTTTCAATTTTAAAAATAAATGCAAAACTTACAATAAACGCAAATAGTCACTTAATTACAAATATTACAAAATCACTAAAAAGTTCCTATAATAATAGCAATAAATTACAGAATCTAGAGCACAATGAACTGAAATGCAAGTTCTATTAGATATAAATTAGATTGTCAACTTCTGATCATATATTCTGAATATAAGTTATTAATAAATCATATCATTAAAGTAAAATGATAATTATCAGAGAGTTGAGAAATGAAATATCATCTTATAAAATGTAAATAAAAATAGGAAACTGACCTAAAACCACTACTATTACTTTTTCATGTATAATAAATCTGTTAATCAGATCTTACAATAAGATATTCTTGTCTTATTTAATATTAAAAAATTTTTCTGGAAAAATCTCACCATCTCTTTTTATTGAAAGAAATTTAAAATGTTTTTAAACTAATATTTAATAAAAACACAAAACAGTTTGGATAACATGTGACTGTCTACATATTGATTAGTGTAATAAAAACAAACAAACATTCAGTAAAAAAAATATATTGCATATTCAAATATCCATAATGATGTTATAAATAAGAATATGACATATACAAAAATATAAAGAATCATCACTGTTTAAATGTAAAATTTTATCATTTCAGTTACTATAAATAATAGTAATACTTCATTAAATTCTTATAAAAAAAAAACTTGCATGTCAAATTTTTACAATTTCGTTTCAATTTTTTATCTTAAAAGAATTAAAATAAATTAATTTCAAACTATCAAGTGATAAAGAATAAAAGTTTGTCAATTCATATTAAGTTATTGAATCTATTTTATCAAATTATCTGTAATTAAAATTAAGATACTTACCATGTAAGTAATCTGCTAGATCACCACCATTGCAATACTGGAAGAAAAAAATTTTTTTAGATATTAATAATTTATTTATTAATATTTGTCTTATAATATAATAATTATATATTTAAACTGTTTTACTACTTTTTAATTAAATATACAATTAAAATTACCTAACACTATCTTCAGGAATTGTAAAATAAGTTCAGTAAAATCCAAAAAGTAATTCATGTTTCATGATTTTTAACGTTTCACTGAATCTTCTAAAGTATTTTTTAAAAAATTTAATATATTTTAATTTTAACATATATTGAAACTATTTATAAAGTTCATTTCATTATGCAGTTAATATTCTTGAACAAAAATTGCATATAAAGTATAAGTTGTTAAAAGCTATGATGTTAAAATTGTAGAATAAATATTATAAGTCTACAAAAAAATCAAAGTGAACACTTAAGTGAATGTTGTAATGAAAATGATTTGCACAATCATGTGGGTGACATTTGAATCACCAACTAGACATGTGCACTTGGTAAAAAGTCTACCAAGTGCACGTCTAGAATAGTCATCTAGGACAAAATAGTGGATAAGAAAATAATTGATAAACTGTTGGGATAATTAGGGCTCTTTTAGAACTTGCATGTTCAGACAAGTTCAGAAGAATTTAAGATCAAAAGGAGAATGCATTTCCATTGGACAGATATCACTATTTATAGTCATAAACAAAAGGTTCATGACTATATCATAACATTAAAAATGGTAAGCAGAGAGCATTCAGACAAGCATCAAAGCAAAGCAGTGAAGGTAGAAAATGTATCTTACCAAAGGCAACATTACAGACACTAAAGACTATGGCCAGTAAGAAAAACCAACCAGCGCAATTAGAAATAAAATGAAGGTTTGGAGTTAGTCAACAAGTGGCCAATTATAATCTGCAGAAAATAGACCTTAAGCTTGTCATGAAACCTGCATACCATGAGCTTTCCAATGCATCCATCCAGAAGAGATACTGCAGGTCTTGGCCATTCTACCACCTAGCGAAGAAAAATAGACAGCAAAAGTTTATCATAACTGATGAAGCTTGGCTCTATCTCACTAAATCCCAAGGCAAGAGGAAGGTCTGCTACATTAACAGGAGCCAGAATTGCTTCAAAGCACCATCATCAACTTTAGCATCTCACCACAAGAGGTTATGATTTGGGCCAGAATTTCAGCAAAAAGACTTATGAAGCCCATTTTCATGAAACCTGGGGCAAAAGTATCTTGAAAATACTATTCTGAAAAGATCCTTCATCCTTTCTTCTGATCACATGCTAAGAGACTGTTTCCAGATAGTGACTGTGTATTTCATCAGGACTCTTCACTTTCATATACAACAAAGACTACAATTGCATTCCTACAGGAAAGTAAAATTGCATTTATTAAACCCTCACAATAGTTGACAAATAGCCCTGATGCTGCTGCTGCTGCTCACTGTGATTATTTCTTTTAGGGCTACTTGAAACAGAGTAAAAAACAAAATGTGTGCACATTAAATGGATTAAAATGCTCCATTCAAAAAGAAATGACAAAAGTTCTCCAAGAGATGAATGATAGATCAGGCTCTAAAGGTTTGGCCATATAGAGTGAGTATACATTGCACAAAAGGTGGACATATTGAAAAATACAATTAAATGTAAGATTTATCTATACTAATATTATAAAGAGGTAAAGTTTGTAAGTTTGGATGTAGGGGTAATCTCCAAAACTACTCATCCTATTTCAAAAATTCTTTCACCAATATTTAGAATGGAATGTCAGGGTGGACATAGGCTGTATATTATTCCACTAGCTGCAAGGACCTGCTTCGCTGGGTTTTTATTTGTATGTAATATAGTTTTTTTTTTTTATATATAAAAGACTGTTTTTCTAAGTAATCTAGAATCTAGATGCAAGGACCCACTTCGCTGGGCAAAAAGTAACGATAGTGAAGTTTAAGATAATTACATTACAGCCAATCTTACCCGTTTTCACAGAATGCAAGAATTAGGTCCCCCGTTTCCAGACTAATTAAAAAAACTTTTATGTCCAGTCAAACGAACTATTTTCAATTTGATCAATTTTCTGGAACGTTTACAATTGTTCTATAATCGAACCAGTTTGAATTTGAATATTGTTCAAATTAAATTCGAACAAATTTGAACATAACATTTGAAATAGAAAACCACTTTCAACCACTTTCAGCCCCATATCTCCCACACCCTTATAGATATAGAGACGCAACCACCATAGTGCACGAATGGAGACTTGGGGCTACCACCACATACGAATAGCATTCATGTGCTATGTGTAGTTTTTGCAGAAAAGTGAAATATAGGGACACACACGTCCATTTTTATATACAGTAGAGCGTCGATTATCCGAATCAATTGGGGACTGGGGTTGTTCGGAAGATCGATGTTTCAGATAACCGGTTATGTACGAAAAAATATATTAATTTATCTCATCTTGACATTTTTCTCCATTGCGTGTCACTTCGCGTTAAATTTTCGTGGATGTTAAGCCTAACGAAGACTATTGTATCGTTAAAAATTATTTTTTTATTTTGTACGAACAAAATAATTATATTGAAAAATATAAAAACAATAAAAAATTATACTTCAGAAGTTAATTTAGTATCAAAAATGTAAAATATTTGAATAGCTCAAGACAGCCAAAGATTGCAGCGCCACAGCACTGGCGAAAATTTAAATTTGCCGACTAGAATTCTTTCGGATGATTGACGTTTCGGATAATCGACGCTCTACTGTATATATATATATAGATTAAACATTCATATAAATTAAAAGATATCGTCTAGGATTAAGACTTTTATGTCCAACAGATGGCCTAACTCCGCAAGTAGACGACCTAAGTTTGCTTTTCTGTGAGGTATTATGCGTTTCTGTGAGAATGAACTAAAGCAGATCATCATCTATCTATCTATATAAATAAAAATGTAATGTTCGTTTGTTCCTACCGATTCCTTTGAAACTTTGACACAACATTGCATTCAAATACGCACGTGTTTTTATATAATACTGTATACATGTCGAAATTCCCCCCACTGGAGTGGAGATGGACGGGATTAAGGCTTACCATGAAGAACTCTGCTTCTATTTATACTATTTTATATACAGTTTTTTGCATTTCTGATTGCATTTTAATAGGATACACCAACAAAATATACACTAAAAAGGGATTTTTCGAAATTCCCCATGAGGGAAGTGTTATACATTTATAAGAGATAGATTTTGAGCCACAACAATGTGTGATAATCTACAGCCGTTAAAGGGGCACATGCCTGAATGACATTATCGATAGCCACACGATAGAATTCTGAATGGTGTTCCAATCTGACTTTAATTTAAATCGCATTCATTTAACAGTCATTAATTACCTGAAGAACTTACAAGTTTGAAAACGTTCATAACGTCTGTTTTTTCCAAGAAGCACACCAGTAATAGGCTCCCCGATACATTTGTTAAATACTAGGGTTTCTCATTTCCCAGGAAATTTGCCTCCAGAGGGATTACGAGAAAAATAATTTCTTTTCCCGGGATCCCGGGAAATTCCGAGATGAGATAGTAAAATAGAATTTTATATGAATAAAAAAGACCATACAGGAATATCATAAATTTGAATAATTTAATTTATTTTCTAGTAAGTAACTAAAAGTGTAGGGCCAATCTCACCCATACGGATACGTTAGGCTCAATTAATTTATGTTCTCCTACATTATAAGATGAAAGTAAAATAAAGCGTTTCATTGGGATTTTTTAATGATTACGAAAAAAAAATACTATTTTACTTCTAAAGATGAAATAAAAAATAAACTAAAATGCGATGAGTGATATTTACTTTCAGCCAGTGCTCCACTGTTCAATGATGCGCAAGCACAATACATACATATTACATGAACTAACAAGTAGAGACTTGTAAAACATAGGTAGTAATATGCAGCAAGAAACCTCAAAATTTCTCTCTTAGGTGAGTCTCCAAGATGCAACTTTTCGTATAATAAATAATAGAAAGAAAACCTGACATAGTAAATTATTATTGAAATGTGAGATTTCCCGGGAAAATAAAATTTCCCGGGATTTTTCTCGTAGGGAATAAACGGCGAGAATCCCGGGAAAATGGGATCCCGAGAAAGAAACCCTATTAAATACTGATGAACAGTTAGTCAGGCTTGTTGATGATTAAGACATGTGATTTGATAATCATAATGTTAATAAGCTAAAAATTTTTGCTCTTTTCATTGCCTAAAGTAAATTTTGAGAACTAAAAAAAAAATCACAAACATTCAAAACAATATTGCTAGCTTTACCAAGTTATGTTTTGTTTACATACAACAGCATTATTTTCTTAAACATCCATCACTTTGCTAAAAATAATTAAAACTAAAAATAATGTCATTTCAATTTATTTGCTTGTGTTTTTTAAAGTCTACAGTGTAGAAATATATTTATATTATTAAATAACTTTTGAGTTAAAGAAAAAACATAGATTAAATATATTATTTTCATATAAAAATATTTAACTTTTTCCTTTCTAACGTTTTCTAAATGGTAAATAAATAAATGAAATAGAATTTTAGCATACTATTGAATGTTATGTTTTAACCTAACTAGTTTTAAGTTAGTAATAAGTTATATATTCTAAATATAACATATTACTAATGTAAAACTATAAGTTAATTTTAAGTTATTAATATATTCACTGTTTTTCCTAGTTGTTTTAGTTAGGTTATTCTGCTTCTTACAGGGCTTGCTAGCTTGTTTCTGTATTATTTTAGTATTAGTTTTAAGCCTTTACTTTAGTTTTAAGCTTTAACTTTACTCTATCTACTTTTTGCATCTGCATTACTAATTGATTTATCCTATAATTCAGACTTTCTTTAGACCCATGACTTTGCAGCCTAAAAACTGCATGCTAACATTAATCATATAGGAAGTTATAACTTTATATACACTGCTCAGAGGAATCCTTCCTTTCTCTTCTTTTTTATCTCCTCACGCTCCTCCTTCCCTTCCCTTCTTTTGCTGGCTAAACACTTTGTGTATGGCCATTGTCTTTTGTTAAAATAAAAAACTATTGAATGACCTAAACATTACAATCAATCAGATCTTTCAACAAATTTAACTGATATTATTTTTGATACTTAAATACAGTTTAGAAAATTATTTCAAATATTCCATTTTTTCATTTTTATTACTTTAAAATTACAACAATATGACTTACAAACAAAAATAAAATTAAATAACTGGGAAAATGTTTAAGATTATATATTCTAAACGGCATAAAGATTAAATAACTTTCAATGGTACCTTCAGAGGTGTAGGATATATGAGAATGTGAGTTATTTAACTTTTTTTTGTTTTAGCAATTTTCTGCAGGTTATAATAATATGGGTAATACATTACTGTGGATTATTTGTAAAAAATTATAGTACTACTTTTGGATCTGATGATTTTCTTGAATTTATTTTAGCTGTCAATTTTATTTTAGTTAAAACTAAATTTTATTTATCACATAAAACATTATTTATTTATTTATTTATTTATTTACATTTAATTGGAAACGTCAGAGACGATTGTATTCCACCCCCCAATAACAAAGAAAAAAAATGATCCCCAATAAAATGATTACAAAATATAAAAGATATAACAGACATAATAAAAAAAATTATAAATTAAGTAAGACAACAGATACATTATATATTATATAAAATAGATTTACATTTATTTTTAAAAAAATTAAAATCACGATATAGATAAGGTTCAACAGGCTGTATGTGAGATGCTATACGGTAAAAAAAAGATCTTTGGGAAAGAGAAAGGCGAAAAAAAGGGATGAAGAAGCATGATGTATTACGAGTTCTTACAGTAGGGATGCGGAGACCTAGCCAGTAATTGAAGATTAGACCATTGAAGTATTTAAAACAGAGAATGCGGTCAAAATATTTTAAGCGATCAGAAAGATTTGGAAGACCAAGGCGAACTCTTGCCACATCGTGGTTGTTTGTAATTGGTAAATTGCAGAATTTGTGTATCAGAAAATAAACTTTATTTAATTCAGATTGTATTTTTTGAATCAGATAAGGGGCAGCCATGGCCCAGACAGGTAAACAATAATCGACTATTGATTGAAAATTAGTAAAGAAAATTGTTCTGAGTACGGTCTTTGAAGAGATATTTTTGCAAAAACGCCAAATAAAGCCACGTCTAATTGCAAGAGATTTAATAATGTAAGAGATATGATCATGGAATATTAATTTTTCATCAAATAT